TAGGGAAAGTCAAGTTTTAATTCTCCATAGTAGCAGTCTTAAAAAACATAGTTGCAACATTATTTCCCTTGTTCTTGCTGCTTCACAAAGTGCTCTTCTGAACTGAGCTATTCAAATAGCCTCTCATGCTGAGCCAAAGAATTCTAGTCAGTGGGGAAAGGTCAGAACAGAGGATGTGATTTAATGTCTTTACCTATAGGTACACTGACAGGTGGAATCTGAATTCATACACCCACAAAAAAGCCTGCCTAACAGGATCCAAGTTCCACGTCAGAGCTCTGAAAAGGATATCTAGATAAGTTTATAGGGCTTCTAAGATAAACTAGTGTTTTTCCATTCCATTAAAAAATTGTTTTAATTTAAAAATGTGAAAACAAGTAGGTTTGAGTCCACATTACCAATTAGTTCTTCAACTATATCCAATAATCATAACTATTTCTGGAAAACTAAGTATTTCCTTTTGATATTTCCTTAAAATAATACTCATTCTTTTGAGTAGTCATTAAAACTAAACATAGTTTATTACCTCGGTTATGAACTATTTCCACACTGAATTGTTTACAGAGTAATTCTTAAGGGAAAAAAAACCCCTCTTTTTAAAAGCTGCATTGTGTATAATAATTGGTAATTATACCACTTAAGGTATCCTATGAACTCTGACTAAAAATTAAAAGCACAAGTGGTGTATAATGGCCTTTTGGTAGCTCCAGAAACCTCGGCAATAGTGAATAAAACAGCTTCTCAGAATTTAAAAGATGAACAACATACTTTTTAATATTAAAAATCCTCAATAGTGAAAGTTGTTTTAAATAAATGAAAAATCTTTCATTGTGGTGTCTTTTCTCTACCCAGTAACTAAATATCTTTAACTCACAAAACCTTTATCTACTATGGAAAAACCCACACTAAAGCAAGCACATCAACAAAAATCAATTTTATAGCCACTTTCACTATACAAAATATCTTTAGAGGAGTCAATACTCAAACCCTTCACAGTAAGTTAATAATTAGGGCAGAGAAAATAAGATTTTCTACGGAAAGCTCAGAATCTACAGGGATATGGTTTGGGGTAGTGGAGGGGCAGCTGCTTCCTAGAATTTCGGACTAGGCAATGACAAATTTCTGTTTATTATGGTTTCTTATGTGACGTCTTTAGTTAGTCTGTGAAACCATCATAACATCTATACAAGATGGAGATCTAACCCCACCACTGGTGCAGCTAAATCTGACTTTACTGGGGCTTCAGCAGATACAAAATCATCAACATCCTAGATGTTCACTTTATGAACTGGCTGGACCCATGTTCAACATATCAAGCACCTCTCAAAATACTCTTTCTCAGCTCCCTCTGAGAATAAGTTTATTTTCATAACCTGGTGTCCAATTTCTCTTATTTGAAGCAAAAACAAAACCCTGAAAGTAAGACATATCCCTTTATAAATAGAAACATTTAGGTCAAGCCAAGAACTAACTACAAAGAAAAGAGAAAACTAGGAGGAAAAGACTCAAAAAAGCCGTAGATTAAGATGACTT